GGCGGGGCAGCACCCTGAGGTCAGAATGCACCTGGGCGCGTGGTCTCTGGGACACACCAGGTGGTTACGGGGGTGCCTTCCAGACAGCTGTGGTGGGGTAACGTCCCACATTACCCACCCCGGCACTCAGAGAGCTGCAGCCAGGTGTGCCGAGGAGCTCAGAGGGAAGAACACTTCCTGTGCACCAGGCCCTGTGGTAGTTTCTCGTGCGTCCATCGAGGTGGACGGCTGGCCGGGTAGGCTGTGGTTTATTCCATGTCAGATGATGAACCGAGGCTCTGGAAGCCAAGCCATCTGCCCAGCATGGCCGAGCTGGCACGCCACGCCCAGGGAGTCTGGCTTTCAGCTCACCGTGTGCTGTTTGGGTTTTGGCTGGACCTGGTACCCTTTGCTGAGGCAGAGCATCTGGGAGGAGATGCCCCTGCTGTCTGTAGATCTGCCATGAGACTCAGGCCTGGCAGCTGCAGGCCCTGTTCTCCAGAGGCCTGCCACCAGGAGCCACCACCCACAGCCCTGTAGCAGGACAGCACTGCTGGTGAGCACCCCAAGGCAATTTCCTCTCCTACGGTGACAAAACGAGGGACCAAGAAATTGAGCACTCCCATCTGGTCACCAGCCTAAGTCTCAGGATTACCACCCGTCACCCAGGGACACACTGCCTAGCCTCTCCAGACTCGTCTACAGACCCAGCCACTGCCCCTCTCCGACCCCTCTTCATCCTTCCTCCTACCAGGAGGGGATGGCAGCGTCCCCTGGCAGAGGGCACAAGGGCTTCCTCAGGGGGTCTTCCCATAGGAGCTCACCCCCCTGAAAGGTGCCAGTGCACCACGTCAGGCAGCTTTGGGCCCACGTTATCAACGGGCAAGTCGCTGCCCCTTGTCCTGAGGGCCCAAAGTCCAACCACAGAACTGGCAGAACTCTTTTAAAAGAAAAAAAGACAGGGTCTTGCTATGGCACCCAGGCTGGCCTTGAACTCATGGTCCTTCTGCCTCGTTTCTTAAGAGGTTTTGAATACAGGTACACACCACTGCAGCAGCTACCAGGCAGGGCCTTTCTTTTTTTAATTGAAATTCTGTTTTCTTTATTCATGAGAGAGCGTATGCATGTGCATGAGAGAAAGAGAGACAGAAAGACAAAGGGGCCCCTCCCTGGGTCTGGTCCCACTACGACCCCTTTCCTCCGGTCTCCAGCCTGAGGGATCTTAGGTGCTCCAAGGCATGATCGCTAAGGTCCAGCTGACCAGGCCAGAAACTGCGGTCATCTTAAGGGACCTGGTGTCCCTGAGCAGTGTGCTAGCACCACACCACAGAGCCGGCCCCAGGACGTGCCACAAGGACTGAGGCCATCTCGACTGCGGCTGTCATGGTCACGACAGAGCTCCCTGGGATGGCAGCAGCTGAGATAAAGGTGGGGGTGGGCCACAAACAGCCGTCCAGAGGGTACGCCAGGAGGCCGCTTGGCTGAGAGTCACGTGCAGAGAACTGACGAGGTTGGGGAAACCCAGGTTTCAAAAGGGGGAGAGTCGAGAGCCACTGAAGGAGGGTGGGCGGCCCCCATCACAAGTGCCCAAAGGGAACTGAGCTGAGTTGCGGAGGCGGCAGCCTGTCCACCATGGTGGGTATGAGGAAACAGCGGGCAGAGGGGGCCACATATGCCTCGGAGCCAACCAACTGGGTGGATCCCCAGCTCTGCCCCACGTGAAGGTGCCCTTGGTCACAGCCCTTCCCTGCCCTGAGTATCGCTGGGGACCGTGATGGCCCACCCTGTTAATAGGTTCGAGGGGGCGCTGCGAGGCCGGACTGCTCTAGGCAGGCCAGGAGTGGGAGCCACCACGACCGGCCATGCCCTGCCCAGCTGCGAGCCCTGGATGACCTTCCAAGTGCTTCCACAATCAGCGAGCGATTCTCAGAGCGAGCGCGCAACAGCCAGCCCGGTGCCGGATGAAACCCTCACCCCGTCCCCTGCAGCCTGTTCCCGAGAAGCCCACTGCCCACAAGTGCCCGTCACGACAGAGCACTCACGTCCCTCCTCACGCTGCTTGGCACTTGCACACACGTGTGAGGCCCTTCACTGGGGTGGGGAAGCATCCACCAGACAGCACCCGGGCTATCGCCCACTTCAGTGTGCAAACAGTAACCCAGACACGTGCTGATGCTTCTGGCAGACCCGGCGGCACGGCAGGAAACCACTGTTCCTGAAAGGAGCACGGGCGGAGGGGCAGAGAGAGCGGCCAGCGATGGCCGACAGCACAGGGGCAGGGGTGGTCTTCGAGGTGGGTCCCTGAGGAGCGTCACAGTGGGCCTGTGCCCAAGGTCAGCCCTCAGTAAAAGCTTTGGGTGGTGCCCTCCTGCCAGAGGCTTCTGCTACTGCATCTTGAGGACAGCGAGGGCTGGAGGGGAGAAGGCATAGCCCCGTGAGTGGCTGACCTGGGGTGGAATCCTGGTCTCCCTGTCCAGACTCTCAGGGACATCCAGATGGACATGTCTTCCTGGTGAGCTGGCTGAGGCCTTAGGAGGCCGGCCTTATCACAC